TGTGGAGGCTGCTTTGATATGCAATGCATCCCGGGCGGCCATCACGACGCTGCTTATCTGACTTTATCTCCGCTCCATATTTATTAGTGGTGATCGAGAATGCCGGAATGGCTGGGTATCACTACGTATTATTAGCCAGGAACCATTGCATCTATAACTCACTGTGCCGTGAAAGGTCCTCACACCGATTTACTTCATGGACACGAGTAAACTAATACCACTTTCTCGACGAGCTTTCGCCTTCAACATCCGGCGTTGCTGCAGTGTCCGCGCAAGAGAATCTCCCCACACCAGTGATCGCAACCGATAATTTGTACATTGACGCTGCCGTCGCGCCGTCACTGAACAAACTATGTCTACCAAGGGCGAGATCATGGACAAGCGCCCGTCATCCACCGACGAGGTCGTCTCACCATCTTTCTCCATCGGCACCATCGACCCAGTCGAAGAGTCCAAGCTTCTAGCAAAGCTAGACTTATTCTTCGTGCCCATCATCATGGTCGTCTACCTTTCTTGCTTCCTCGACCGATCCAACATTGGCAACGTAAAAGTCGCCGGTATGCCTGCCGACATCCACGCCACCACCGAGGAAATCTCGACCGCCGTGTCCATCTTCTACGCCACATATGTCCTCGTCGAGGCACCCTGGGCAATAGCCCTAAAGAAAATCACGCCGCGAGTTCTCATGACAGGGCTTTGCATCATCTGGTCGCTGACAACCATCTTCTCGGGATTCATCACCAGTATCGGCGGCATGTACGCGGCGCGGTTAGTGCTTGGTGCATGTGAGGGAGGCTTGTTCCCGGGATTGAATCTTTACTTGACCATGGTGTACAAGCGCGAGGAGCAAGCGAGGAGGGTGTCGTATTTATTTGTGTGTACGGCCCTGTCTGGCGCTTTTGGTGGACTGCTGGCCTATGTCATCTTGAAGATGGATGGCGTGGGTGGCTACGCCGGTTGGAGATGGGTCTATATAATTGAAGGCCTTTTCAGCGTTGTTGTTGCTGTCATTGTGTGGTTTGGTTTGCCGAATGACCCCAGCAATGCATACTTCCTCAACGACCGGGAAAAGGAATTGATGAGGATCAGGGCGGAGCAGCGGGCCCAGTACATGGGCAGTGAGAAGTTCAGTTGGGATGAGGTGCTGATCACGCTCCGGGATCCCAAATTATGGCTCAGGTAAGGAAGGCTCTGCAATTCTTGCATCTCATTTTTATCGCCTGCTAATTCCCACAGTGGCGCCATTCAGTTCTGTCAAGACATCCTCCTCTACGGCTTCTCGACTTTTCTCCCCTCTATCATCACATCCATGGGATACACCTCACTACAAGCACAATATCTGACGATCCCTGTCTACATAATCGGCGGCGGCAGCTTTCTCGCTCTGTCCTTCATCTCCGACCGCCTCACGCTCCGCTCGCCCTTCCTCATATTTGCCAATTTTGTCGGTGTCATTGGCTACGCACTCATTCTCAGCCCCGTCTCCAACGCCGTCAAGTTCTTTGGAACATTTCTCTGCGCTGTCGCAGTTTACACTGGGCCCGGGATGAATCTGACGTGGTTGAACGTCAACGTAGCGCCGCACTACCGACGAGCCGCTGCGATTGGCTTCCAGCAAACGTTGGGAAACTGTGCGGGTATCGTGGCGGGTCAGATCTATCGCAGCTCACCGTATACGCTAGGGAACGCGTTCAGTCTTGGATCGATTGGCGTTGCACAGTTGATTATTGTGGGGAAAGCGGTGTATGTGCAAAGTCAAACGAGGCTGAAGCAGAAGATCGCCAAGGGCGAGGTGGAGGATACAAGGAGGGTGAAGACAGGGGACCGGGAGCTGGATTTCAAGTATCACTTGTAAGCCTGACAGTCTACGGCCATAGAATAGTAAATAACAGGTAATGGCTGGGATATACCTAACTTTATTGAACATCTTGAGCGAAAAGATAAAACTTCCTAGCAATTCATGGGGGGCGATATGGCGAATGCTCTGCAAAGTTTTTAATACCATGAAAGTCACTTGAATAAAAATGCACGCGAAGTGAAGTCTAGGCACAAGATGAGTGTCAAAAAACGAATGTCATTCAGACCGTGATACCCGATCAATGCTAATCAAAACTCCCGTCCCCCAATGCAAGCAGACCGAAGAAGGTATCAACCGAGGTATCATAGCCAGTTCCCCAAACTCCAAAGGTCAAAATCAGTAGACCAAAATTCAAATTCCATATCCCTTCTTTTTGTGCCACACAATTACTTTCCTGACATCTATATAAGATCATGGCATTCCGCCAAATTTTAGTCGCCACATTTAGATGCCAGTCTCCCGAGTGTCCACAGATGATGAATGCAACGGTACACCAATGGGAATATAGGCGGTGCAGGTGGCTGTTGTTCCCTAGGTGCTTCAACGAAAGCAAACTGTGGTGGTGTCGTGGGCAAGTTCAAGAGGAGATGCTCGAACGTGGTGATGAGATGTGTTCTGAAGAAGTGCTCTTGCCGTCTGTATATGAAGAGGTGCTTCGACGGCCGCGAGTAAGGGAGAAGAAGCCGGAGCTCTTGTGGCTCTTGTCTTTCGATGCCGTGGTCTGAGTCTTCTTTGTGGGTTGGTATGCGTTCACTCGTCCGTAGAAGACATCGTTGAGTGAGTAGTAGTCGAGCGAGTAATCCGATTTTTGAGCCATGATGTTGACGGGAGTGAGGTTTTGTTAAGTGGTTGGGTTTTAGTGTTGTTTTGTGGGTGGGTGTGTATAGGGAGGTAGTGTATATGTGGTGTGGAGTGCAGTGAACACTATATCGGTAAGGCTGAACCGGTAGACAAGCTGTGGTGTATAGTGTGACAATACTGAATAGGTAAGTAATATCTGGATGAGGTATACAAATTAAGAAGCAAAGTTCAATCACGCAATTTCGAGTGGTTCTCATGCTCTACTTATGAAAACCAGAGACACTGGAATGGTGGGCTTGAACGGGGACTGCGCAACCAGGTGGAAACATCTTCTGACAAGTCAACGACCGCCGACTGTCCGTAAGCGGCCCGCGACCGACATCCGAAGCCGTGTCCCGCTAGTACAAAGTAACTGGCAACCAAGGACGGCATTGTTTCCAGTTCACCAGATTGGTCCAATATTTTCTAGCCCAGCAACCCTTGGACCAGCCATAGCAGAGCAGTACAGAGCAGAGCGCAGTCCCGAGACGACGGGATGACTTTGGTATCCACAAGGAAGAGAGTACCCATGTCTCCACGCGTGAGGTGCAGCAAAAAGGGACCCATTATTTTAACTTTGTTTGCGGTCACTGCCGTGCAAATCTTGCCTTGTGACCCACCAGCAGCTTTTGAAGGGCGGCTCGGGCTCCGGGAAGGCGGCTGTGAACGAGCCGTCCATTGTTTAATGCCAGCCTCCCTCGTGAAGTTCTGATTTCCTGTTCAAGCAAGGGAATGACACTTAGTGCTGCTTGGCGAACTTTCCTGTATAAGCAGCACTATGTAACCTCACGCGGTCTCTGGAGTGGCTGAAGACTCTGAAGTTTCCAGGAGTCATAGCCGGTGCAGAAAACATCAACGCTAAAAGTCTTCCAAAGGTGACTGACTCAAAGTGGATACCATCTGGCGGGCCTATACTATAAGTAGGTACTTAGACGCCACAAGGCCGAACGTCAGAGCCGCCGGGTCGGCACGGCAGCAATTTTGGTGGAGGCGGCTTTCGGTCGTCCGTCATACCGTCACATGTAGGTTGGAACAAGAACTTGATGAGTTTCACTTCTCTGACGAACATTGCCCTCATGAGACGGCCAGGATTCGGTAAAGGTGGGTGGATGTCCTCGTTGGTCCAGCCACAGTGCCCTTCAGTCTGTTCCGTCATAGTCACCCTACCTACTATCAGCTGTCATGACCAGAAAGCCTTTGAAATATCTAGGTACCTGGGTATACTTGCCGTTCGGGGTATCCGTGAGCAATCGCGAGTGTCGAGATTGCTTGTCTGATTAGCGACATTTGGACATCAAGTCCGGTGCTGAATACGATAATTGTGACTTATTACTCTTTGTGGGACCCTGAGCAGGACCGTCCGACAGCCGTGTCTAGGAAGTGATGCACAGACGTAACAAATACTGGATTGCATATTATATCCTTTTGCCAAGCAAGTTTGCAAATAATGCTAAAGCCTCACCTACTCGTGAATCGTGACCGAGAGCCGTGCAAGCAGCTAGAATGTTCTGGGAAACATCTCAACCAAGTTCATCCCGAGTGCCGACTGAGACAGGCCAGAACAAAGAAGCACAAGGGTCAACATTTGCACAAGAGTGTTTTCATTTGAACTGATGCCCCGTTAGAGACCATCATGATTCTTAGCAGGGACACGCCTGAGAGAAAAACGACGCTTAACTGTGTTCAGTGTGTCAGGCTTCACTATGGTGGAAGTCGATACATCCAAGACACGAAAAACGACCACCACCATTCCAACTGGGCACTTTGAGCACACGCTTCTTCCCTGCCGGATATATCGAAATTATTCGTGAACCAGTCCAGAGAATGATAGTGGCTCCCCATTCACGAACTGTAGAGGTTTGTTGTTCCTCCTCGTGCTAAAGGGACCCATATAGGCTCCGAGGGGGGGGGCGGTCCTTCGTCTGCAGAGGCCAGCAAGTATCGTATCCATCCGTCCCTTTCTTCTTGAGATAGCAACATTCTCCGGCGCCTGTTCCTTCACGATGAGGTACTGGATGATAATAAGCCACAGCAGCAGAAAATGGGTTGTGTACATTGGTCCAACTCTCCGGATATTTGTCTGGCAGTGAGTGATCACCACAACAACTACGTATTATACGGGGTCTCCTTAAACAGGATTCTCCAACACCGTGCCATCAGACCCAGCATCATAAAGCGTGGCACACAGTAAGTTAACCGGGTCACGTCATTTTTCACCGCGCGCACCGCAGCCAGATGTGATATACACCAGAAGCTGCAGACCAAAAAGATACACACCTCATGGCATTAGGATACAAAACAATGACAACCGTGTGATTCGAACACACGCCCCTTTCGAGACTACGAAGCTTTTCATGATGAGAATACCTGAACGTAGCGCCTTAACCGCTCGGCCAGGTTGCCTTGAACGAATTTGAATGAAAATATGGTGACAAGCTTTGCATTATGAGTCAAAATGTTGTGGGAGTGGATCCGCTATTAGTCGAGATTCCTGGGTGGAGTGGAGTGGAGCGGCGCGTATATATACACCCACATCCCACTTTGGAAGACCATGAAGCACCATCAGGACTGAGAACAGGCTGCAGACACGGCGAGATCCTACCCAGGTTTATAGAGCAACTGCAATGGACCGGTCTCATATTGGATGTAGTCGGAGTATTACCCAAGATGTTGGGAAGGGGGGGGGAACGAAGGAAACATAGCGGTGGAATGGCGACATGGTTCCAAGCCTAGACGAGACAATATGCGGTTGCGGTGAACTCGCTCCGAAAGTGACTTGCGACAAACTGAAAGAGGAATTCGTGCGTTGATCGTTCTCGAATTCGAAATGCTCAACGTTGTCCCCACACGACAGCCTCGGCCTTCCACGCTACATAGCGGGAAAGACCTCATGCTCCCTGACATCCAACACAATCATATGACCCGGACTATGAGCCATAATCGTCCCCTCCAGACCAGCCATCATCGCCGCATTTTGCGGCGTAACACCACAGCCCCAGAACACCGGCACATAACCAGTTTCCGATTCGTCAAATGGCTTCCCGCTGCCATCCAGCATGAGACTCTGCTCACCCCACTGCACGTCCTTGATGTCAGCGATGCCCAGCTGCTTCATTCCATCCCAGCCCCATGCAATCGGCTCGCCATGGGTGGCCACATATGGTCGAGTGATATCGCGGACTCTCTCGATGTCTTCAACCTTGTAAGGCCGCATAGATACGACGTAGGTTGCGCCCGTGAAGACGCCGGCAGGACATAGGGGAATTGTGGTGCGATACATTGGCACGTTGCGGTTGTGCAACTGGTGTCGAGGTGTGAAGCCAGCAGTACTAAGAGCGGATTCGAAGCTGTAAGAGCAGCCGATTAGGAACCCCACATGGTTGTCCGTCCACTGTGAAGAAATGTCCAGTACATCATCGCCATCGGGTTGGCCATTCTGATAAATACGGTACTTTGAAAAATCATGTCGCAGGTCAATGTCCTGCGCAACGGCTAATGCCACCTCTTCAACGTGCCTCTTTCCATTGGTCTGTCCGCAATCGGAGGCTGCTGTGTGAACTGAGGCTTGCAAGTAGGACTTCAACCGTGTGGCCTGCCCTGGTGTAGCTGATTCCGCAAGGAGAGGACATGGTACTGGGTTGCGAGCGCACAAAAGACGAAAGTCATCCGCGTATCGAGAGGGGAGGACAATAAGATTGGCCTGAAGGTAGGAGGGTGCAAGCCCAGCGGTTTGATCAGTTAGTAATTTGGTACGGGCGGCCATGCGAGCAGATATGCCCGTGGGATACTTCTGAGCAGAGGGTTTGTCGATTGCCATGGCGGCGCAGAGGTCAACCAGAGAAAACGCCGTCGGGCTTGTCACGAAATTCAAGAGCAAAGGCAGAATACCTTTTGAAGGTCGTTCGATGTCGGGTGTCTATGGTGGTTTTATCATTACATTATATCGTCTCCCTTCGGCGCTGAGCTTAAAAAAGAGCTTTTGGTCGTATTATAGGCCCCAGCGAGAGGTAAGGCCCAAGTCGCTACGCGGAAGAGGAGGGCGATGGCAAAACCAATGGCAAAGGTCCTATAGGAGACCCGGACTATGGATGCCGGTGGCGCCTTATCGGCTTGTGGTGTGTTAGTTGCAGGACACGCTTATCGTCGATACAGACTGAGGGAGGGGTGGGGGCCATGAAGAGGTACGTACTCGTGAATTCATGATACATGCTCTTCGTACAAAGGCGCAGTCGTTTGTCTAGACGGGGCTAGAGCATATTCCAGGACGAAAATTTCGCATACTAGGCGGCTGTTTTCGCTTGTCGATGCCGTGAGCCAGCTTCTGTGGGGTCGTTCGAAGGTGCTGGTGTGACGGCGGAGTCTTCCGAATCTTGAATGTCGCCGTTGAGTTGCTTCTCTAGGCGATTAATTTCTGCTCGTTGCTTCAGAACCACGTCGACTAGCTTCTGTGCGGTCTTATTTCCTTGGGAGCCTGCACGCAGCGACTCTTGCTCGGCCTTGGGGAGGTCCAGAGAGTCCAGTGCTTCCCTCTTCTCACCCGACTTTAGTTGTCTCTTCTTTATCTTGTACTTGACATCTCTGGAACGCTTCTTTCGTGGCTTCCGCTGGTAGGGCCCCTGGCTATCTTTCCTTCGAGTTGTGGTTTCGATAGACTCGATGAGGGTGTCAGCATCTGCATCCGCGGGCTTTGTCGGCGTCGGTGTCGGCGTGGCCTTGTGCGCGGAGGAGCGTGTGACTCTGGCCATGATGTCGCCACCGAAGGTCAGGAGGCTCTTAGGAAGGGAGGAGATGCGATTCTGACGCTCTTGGCTTCTAGGTAACTGTAGCTGGTCCGTTGGTGTTGGTGATTGGTCCGAAAGAGACCGATCCATTTGCAGCTCCGTTGTGTTTGTTGTGCTGCTTTGCTGGGGACGGTGCTAAGCTGGTGTTTGCTGTTGCTTGGAGCTTGTGTGGAGTCAAAGGTGGCCCAAGCTCCCCATGTACCAAGTATCTTATACCCCCTGCCGTCACTCGACTATCTCAGGATGGAATGACCTTTTGCACTCGATAGTGGACCAAAATGGAATGTCCAATTCACACGATGCTGAAGTACTCAAACAAGCACATTATAATCTTTTGGAATATCTTGAATCAGTGATGCCCCATCCCATCAAATTCCGAAACTCTACTGCAGCCTGATTTTCGACAATATTGGTACGATGTTCAATATCAGCCCATCTAAGTGGCAACAACATCACCTGTGTGTCCAACAGCAGGCTGACAACTAGACGAGCCTCTTGTGAAGCACATCTGTTTCTGAGATAATGCAGTCTATGTAGTCCCTGCGATTCTTAAGCCATCCTTCCCTGTCTACAGCCGCTGCCGGATCGGCAAAGAGCAAATGCCGGGCCGGCCTGGTATCTTAGCGTCGGGGAGGCACTCCGATCAGTACATCTTCACTTGTACTTCGACCCACATTTGGCCTCTAATCATCGTCGGAATCGCACTCCTGCCCCAGACCCCGTCAATGGGCTGTGGCTCTTGGTATTGCGCGACTAATACTAGTAAGGTATCAAAGCCTCGACAAGTGCATATTTCGCGATTCAAGCCATTGTCGGAGCAGCGTCGGCCAGCAACCGCATTCCACAGGCCTAAGTTTATAGGTCTCCTCCTAAGATGGTGACAGTATCTTACTGAATATCGCCGAAAGGTCTTGTGAGCGTGTCGGACGAGGTCTGCGTCTCATTACTAATTGCTCTTTGTTCATCTATCATCCCGTTGTAAACAACTTCGTGGAGGTTTCTTCAATCTCATTCGCACATCTCACCGAGTGGCGAGTATATTTCCTTCGTATAGAGAAGCATCATATCGTCATTTCTTCATCTCATGTCTATGCCATATATACTACCTCGAACAAGGCGCCTGTAATCAGCAAGCTCACCTTCTTAATCCTCCTTCGTCAGCCCCCAGTCAGCCTCTTATAGCCTCGTCTCATCAACCACACCATGGGCTCCGTCTCCGACACAAAGCCACTCGGCATCCGCATATCTATCGACCGCGGTGGCACTTTCACAGACGTGCATGCCTCCATTCCAGGCCGAGACGATATCATTCTCAAGCTCCTATCTGTTGATCCAGCCAATTACCAAGATGCGCCAACAGAAGGCATCCGCCGCATATTGGAGCTGGCCACCGATAAGCCACACCCTAGGGGACAGTTACTAGACCTGCACCACATCGAGTCCATTCGCATGGGCACCACCGTAGCCACCAATGCACTGCTGGAGAGGAAAGGAGCCCGATCTGCGCTGCTCATTACCAAGGGATTCAAAGACTTGCTATTCATCGGCAACCAGTCACGGCCAAAGATCTTCGACCTAACAGTGACACGCCCAGAAGTGCTCTATGAGCAAGTGATAGAGGTCGAGGAGCGTGTCACGATGGAGGACTACACGGAGGATCCCAAGTCTTTCAAGACAGAGGTCACCTCGGAAGCCACTGACCTTGTCACTGCTGTCACGGGCGAGACCATCCGGGTGATGCAGCGACCAGATCTAAATGCTGTAAAGACATCACTACAAGCACTGTGGGATCAAGGCTTCCGCTCCCTTGCAGTCGTCTTTGTGCACTCGTATGCATACCCCGATCACGAGCTCCAAGTTGGCCAGCTCGCGACAGAGATGGGATTCAGCACTACTTTGTCATCAGCCGTCCAGCCCATGATTAACGTTGTGCCGCGAGGAATGTCCGCTATGGCAGATGCCTATCTTACCCCAGTCATCAAAGAATACATCTCGTCTATCGAGTCAAACTTTGATGGTGGCTTCAGCAGCGAAAATACCCGCATTGAGTTCATGCAGTCTGACGGTGGCCTCGTCGATTACCGCAAGTTTAGCGGGTTGAAGGCTATTCTTTCCGGGCCTGCAGGGGGTGTTGTTGGGTATGCTCAGACCTCGTGGGATGCAGAGGAAAGAAAACCGGTCATTGGCTTCGATATGGGCGGTACATCGACCGATGTATCTCGGTATGCGGGGGTGTATGACCACGTCTTTGAGACGACCACCGCTGGCATCAGCATACAAAGCCCTCAACTCGATATCCATACTGTTGCGGCTGGTGGTGGCTCAATATTGACATGGAAGAATGGCCTATTCAATGTCGGCCCTGAATCCGCGAGTGCGCATCCGGGCCCTGCTTGCTACAGGAAAGGTGGTCCCCTCACAGTCACGGATGCGAACCTCTTCTTGGGCCGCCTATTGCCCGAGTATTTCCCAAAGGTCTTTGGGCCCAAAGAAAACGAACCACTGAACAGAGACATCACCTCCGAGAAATTTGCTAGTATGACGGACGAGATTAATTCAGACCGTAAGAGCGCGGGTCTGTCACCCTTTTCTGCCGAGGAGGTGGCTATGGGATTTCTAGAG